GTTGACAGAACTCGCTCTCTTTTGTGGTAGAGGGTTAGTTCTCCTGTAATTCGGAAAGGGGCACTAGATTTTGCGTGGCTTGTTCGATGGTGGAATCGATACTGCTCGAGAAGAGATGGAAAGTGCGACACCGGTCAGGGCCGTCTTCAACGAAATGATACCTGGTTGCAAAGTCGCCGCTGAAGGGGTGGTTGTCTAAAGTTGAATTGAGGAAACTTCCCATCTCCGATGCCAGTCGTTGCGATGAGGCACATACGCCAACGGGGCTCACCGCTCCCCTCATTTTCGTCTTGAAAGACCCTTGAAAGCCCCCAAAGTCTGCCAAGTCAATAGCCCCAGAATCCCCAGGGGCCTCAGATCGACGAACCTTAACCGTGGTGGATCTAAGCTAGGGTCTGGATCAGGGGCAGACTGCGACTGTCGGCGTGATGAACTCAGCCCCCATTGGCGTCTGAGTCGCATTCGGCTCGCAAGGCTGAATGTGCATAATTCGGATTTCATAGTGGCCGGGTTACCCGGGCAGCTTGGCGGCAGGGCCAGTCCTCTGTCGTGCGGCCAAACCAGCCCCCAATCGCGAGCACTGCATGCTCGTGCAATGCCAAGTCAGGGGAATTCAAGCACCGATTGAAATTTGAAGCTGGCGCCTGCACATTGTCGGGTCAAGTGGCTCATAATGGAACGCAGCGGGCGCGACTGTCACGCCGTACATTGGCTGGCACCTTCCGTCCTGACTATCGAATCCTGGCTATAGATGCATCGACGCCACATCCCGGCTTTTACGAGGCAGGCTAGAGCCCAGAAGCCGCTCGATTTTCTCCTGCACTAACGAAACCTGTTTCCACTGGCCTATCGGAAATGAGCTAGTTCTACGGCACGTTCTCCAGGCTGACCACTTTTCCACAACCCGTTAGGACAGGGTCGCAGCCAAGGCGCCGAGATCCTAATTCAGCTGGTTCCTCACCCCCTGGCACTCAGCTCAACCAGCTTGGCCGATTTGCCGAGCCGAACCCGCGCTGGCACCGCCATCTGCGTGGAAATGTTTATTGAGGGGCTGCAATTTTTGTGGGCTTTGCGGCTCAGGTCCGATGCAGCGCTGTAGTCACTCAAGGAAGAGCATGCCTGGCGACATGCAGGGTCTAGAATCTGGAAGCACATAAGAAGAGTGGGATGGAGCCCATTCCCTCTGTCCCCGCCGACTCCAGTCGTCGACCAAACTGCAGATCCCACCATTGATTTCTCTACCGACAAGATGGTCAACCGGAAAGCTCTTTCAGCCCTGCTCGCGGGGGCCGCCGTGGCATCGGCTCAGTGCACCATCCCCACGACTCCCCCTCCCACCACCATCAGCGACCCGTTCCGTGCGCAGGTCCAGAATGCGTCGCGCCCCGAGGTTCACAACAAGTACCTGAACCTTCTTGAGGCCGGCGGCGGTGACAGGCATCTCTTCATTGGGCCTGTCGGCGCTCCCACCTACGACCTGACGCTGGTCGACGGTGTGATCAACCATGTGCCCAATGGTGTCCGCGCTGTCATCGGCGGCGAGGTAGGGCTTCCCGGTCCTTTAAAACCCATCGACGGCCGAAGCTAACACAAGTGCAGTTCTCCGAGGTTGACCACACTACCAAGTTGTTCATGACTGGCCGTGGCGACGATCGGGCCGTTTTCGAGCCCACCTATGCCTGCAACCCGGACACAGACGAGCTTCAGGTTGAACTGCGCTTCGTGACCTGGCAGAACCAGCCCACCGGCGGCCACATCTGTGTACGCCACGCCTTTGACGGCAGCCACGAGTTCCGCTACAGTCCCCCGGGCAATGACCGTACGTTCCACCATCCCATCCACGGTCCCGTCCACGGGACCGAGCCAAGTCTCATGCTAACCCCCCCCTCCTAGTCATCGACGTCGACCGCGAGTGCATCAAGGTCACCCTGGTCGTCATCCCCACCGACCCCAACAACATCCCCATCCCGTCCACAACCCTCACCACCGTCACCGTCCCGGCCACCACGGCCCCCGTCGCCACCTCCACCCACGCCCCCGGCGAGGACTTTGCCGACATGACCGCCGCGGGCTGGTCGTTCCAGGGGTGCGCGCCCGAGGAGCGCTGGGCGACGGACGGGCCGTTCCGCACGCTGACGGGCTCCATGACGGGCTCCGACACCATGACCAACGAGGCGTGCATGGCCTTCTGCGACGGGCTCGGCTACGCCTTTGCCGGCACCGAGTGGAGCCGCGAGTGCTGGTGCGGCAACACCGTGGCGCCGACCCGCCAGCCCGCCACGACGCTGGCCAGCCTCGCGGCCTGCAACTACAAGTGCACCGGCGACGCGAACCAGAACTGCGGCGGTGACGCGTGGCTGAGCCTGTATGCCAAGTGCCCGACCGGGGGCCCCTGTGAGAATGTTGTGTTTGTGTAAGGGGTGGAAAGGGTCTGAAGATGTGTAATGGGTGTTGCGTGTGTATCTGATGGGCATAATTGAGAAACAGGGAGCAAGTATATACTTTCATGGATGAACATCATGGCTTGTCTCTAATGGAACTCGGGATTGTTTGGCGCCGAGAGGGTTCAAGCTAGGTAGGTAGCGACATACTCAGTAGAGATCCGTACATACCAAATCCACGGGATGATCGCCAAGATGATGCTGCCAACAGCTGGACTTGCAAGTTGGGATGTATGTCCATGCCCTTATGATGCTTGTTGCAGTGGCAGTGACAACTCTACATTTAGATCTCTAAGGCCAGAAATTGAACCCAACGGGCAAAGAAAGGGCCAAACAGAAGACGTGGATCGGTCTGCCGGCTCCGAGCCTGACTTGATGGTAGCGTCGGACTATGCCGACCAAGTCCTCTACAACAACATCTATCAACCATCACTGTCTAGTAAGGCCCGACAGATTGACACTGTATTAGCACATAGCAAAAACATCGCACTGCTGCGTGAAATGACTAAAGTGATCTGTTCCTGCTTCGCTCGTAGTGTATATTATACCTACAAGCATCAATTCTGCTTCGCAGAGGGTACCTGCTCTGGAGCTATTTATCGAGATGAACTTATCAACCCGGAAACCGATTGACTAACATCAGTTAGACCTTACTTTGTTATTGTTTAAGCAGTCTGTAAAATTGGCCCTTATGCTTCATCAAAAGTGGGTAGGAATATGTCATACCATCGCTAAAGTAGACATTTGACCTAGTATTCTAGAGGTGTCTATGGCTCCTCTTATATCTTAAATCTTCCTGTGGCCTATGACCATCTGAAATCATGCCATTTGCAATGAGCAAGCGACATTGATAGTGGAAAGGCGCGAATTTGTTAGTTGCTGAGAAATCATTATTTCCAGATGGTGTATCAGTGTTACAAAAATAACGGTACGTACCTCTTATATGGACCAATGAGACGCACATGAACGGAAAAGGGTGGGGTGCATGTCGCGTCATAGCTTCCCTGACAAATCCCGGGGCTCTGAATTACATCATGCGTCCGGAATAATCCACCAGCGCGACATCTGTCTGAAAAGCCTTTATTATACCTCACCTCCCAGCCGCCGAGAACCCCCCACCTGCCCCTAATGTCCTCCAGACTGCTACGCCCCGCCTTTCGGACTTTCCGTGCATCATCAATTTCCCCGGTCCCAATCTCAACAAGACAGTTCACGACCAGCTCGCCCAAAATGACCGTCCACATTCTCGAGACGTAAGTCGCGACTACCCCTCCCCCCGACGCGGGGTGCCATTGCTCCCCCACCAGGCGTGGCTTGCTCAAACCCCCGCGCTCAAACCTCCGCTAACGCGCCTGCGCCCTACAGCCGCGACCAGTTCAAGGAGACGATCGCCAAAAACGAAGTCGTCATCCTCGACGCCTTTGCGATATGGTGCGGCCCTTGCAAGGCCATTGCTCCCCAAGTTGCCAAGTATGCCGCCCGACACGCCGTTTCTTGTACGACGCAGGGAGACGGAAAGAGTTGACCGATTATCTCCCCAGATGGTCTGAGGACCCCAAGTACAAGGACAAGATCTACTTTGCCAAGTTCGACGTCGACGCCGTCCCCGAGCTTGCCGCGGAGCTCGGCATCCGCGCCATGCCCACCTTCATCATCTTCAAGAACGGCGAGAAGGTCGAAGAGTTCCTCGGCGCCAACCCCCCCGCCCTTCTCAACCTGCTGAACAAGCACAACCCGGCAGAAGACGAGGGCGCTGAGGGCGCGGAGACTGCCAAGACCGAATAAGCGGGCCAGGCCGGACATGTCGAGGCTCGGGGACAGATCGGTGTGGACGGGCCGGAGGAAGGGCCGCACGCTGTAAATGCCTAGAAATTATACAATGCAGACAGCGCGGGGTAGATATCAGCGGATGGCCCTGCTCTTTTTCGCGTTGAGACCTGGACAATCACCAGTGTTGGGATACCAAGAGTGTTTTGGATAATTGCAACCTCTCTAAAGCTCATTAAACCGTCACTAAAACCAGCTACCAAGACATTCCGTCGGTCGTGCCGGAGACATGTTTACGAGTGTTGGACATGGCAACAACTTCTCTCTTGATGAAGAGAGCACAGCCACCACAGCACCACACACAGCACCTGGCCAGTGAGCTGAACGGAAATGGGATTAGAGCTGCCTCAAAAGCAGCGGCAAAAGAAGAAATGCCTGCCCATCATGAACCCGAAATATGAAGATCAACAAGGATGGAGGAAAAAGGTGGGGGCCACCCGGGGATTGAACCCGGGACCTCTCGCAATATGCTCGGGTTAACCCTAAGCGAGAATCATACCACTAGACCAGCGGCCCTACAAATTGAGATGTCACAAAGATGCAGAAAGGCAGTCCACTTGTGTCGAATCTGGGTGTCGGCATCAAAGACTATCTTGGAGCTTGAAGATCGAATCCTGCTTGCCTCAGAAGGTCAAGGGGTCTCTTGGAGTGTTTTATCAAGCTGTGCTGTGTTGATGTAAAAAGAAACAAAAAGGAGACAAAAAGAGATAACATATCTTGCATATCAGGTTTTGCCTGATACTGGAATCGAACCAGTGATCTTTGCATGTCAACATGGAGTGGTACGAGTGCAACGCATTACCACTGTGCTAATCAGGCTGATGGTTATGGTTTGTGGTCAGAAGAGGTTTCAAGAGCAAGCTGCCCTCGACCGAAGAGGGTATGCCACAACCTTGACGTCTGCAAACCCCCCAAGCTATTAAATGGATGCTGGTAAGCCTGTTTTTACAAATCCCTGGTTTATCATCACTAACATCAACACCTTCACCCGAGTCGTACTTGAATCACCCTACCTGACCCTGACGTTGAACTGTAAAGCAACGGCGTCCAACTCCCTGGTCCCTGAACTGTCCGGATTCCACCACAGGGGGTATCTTCAAGGGACCAGTTTCCCGGGAGTTTGGAACCCGGCCGACTGAAGCACTGGAACAGAGAAATGACAACAACCACTTTGGGCCCGAGTCCAGGAGTCTCCTGTTCTCCATCCTCGACATCCTTCTGTGGCGACTTGGTGCCAATCCTTGATTCTGCCTCGAGACTCGTTCACCGAGAGCCCAGCAGTAGTCTGGCTGCCTTGCGAGTGCTCGCATGAGTATTGCAGCGCTGGCACCACCCCATTGGTCTGTCCTGATCATACGGCTCCGAGGGTGGCTCGGCGGATGCTGTTGGTCGGGCCCCTGCATATATTAGTCGAACCCCTGCAGATGGAGTGCAGAAAGAAGCTGGCCACGATTGGCCGTGTCTCCGTGTAACGGCAGTTTTCTTTGTTCTAGAAAAGATTTCCTAGAGTGCCTCGACGCAGCTCGGGAGGTCGCCAACGCTGGGCGCCAGCCCCTGCTGCGCGAGCAACAACAACCACCTCTGGCCTCGTGAGTGATGTGTGATGCTGAGGTCTCATGGGGAACGAGTATATAGACGTGCTGCTGCTCATGTTTCCTTTCCATCTTCCTTGTGCCGATCATCCATCTCACCCCGCTTGCTCAGTCTCAATTTCGTAGACCGTCAGAGCATTTTTGGCATTCGCGATCTGTGACGAATCTGATCATGGATCCCCCTAGCGATCGGCGGCCTTCGTGGGCCGAGAGGATCGCTTCGTGGGTGACTCCCAGCGACACGCCCGGGTCCCCGCCGCCCTCTCCATCCGAGCCGGCGACGCCGCCTCAGACCCCTCCCTACTGGTCCTGGACACAAGAACCAGGATACCGCAGCGGGTCAGACTCGGACGACGGCATCTACCCCGGCGACTCCGTGTCGCCCTACTCCATCGGCTCGCCCTCGGGGATGTACAACGGCGGCACCGGGTACCGCGCCCCCATCACCCCGATGCGTTTCGCCTACGAGACGGACGACGAGGACGACGACGCCACCGTCGTCGCCACCGTCGTCCCCTCCCTCCCCAAGGCCCTCCGCACTCCACACGAGCCAAGCGAGGTCTCCTATGTACCGGCCCTCCCCCCTCTCCCCTTTTCCTCCCCAAGTCCTCTCCTCCCCCACCTTCCGCCCCTTCTCCCCCCCCCCCCCCCCCCCCCCCCCCCCCCCCCCCCCCCCGCCCCAACGACTAGTACTCCCTAACCAACCTCCCCGCCGACTCCCCCCACCGCACGATCCCCGCGGCCGTCGTGCGCGCGCAGGCGCAATCCATCCCGGCACAGCCAAGCCCCAACCCGCGCGGCTACCCGCACCGGTTCCGCAACGCCGAGCGCCTCGACCTGGCCAGCCCGCCGCCCGTGATCGAGCACCCGCTGACGGCGACGGGCGCGCCCTACGCGGCCGGCACGGCGCCGGGCCCCGCGCGCATCTTCACCAGCGAGCTGGAGCGGGACATTGTCGCCGGCGGGCCCGGCGGCGGCGGGGTGCTGGACGTCGGCTACCACGATCCGACGCTGCCGCTGTATGTCAATCCGCGGACCGGGGTCCCCGCGAGGTTTCACCCCTTCTCGCTGGGGCAGTATCGCGGGGGGGATGCGGGGCGGTATCGGGATCTGGGGGGGCCGGAGGGGCAGGAGGGGGTGGAGGAGGTTCAGGGGTTGTTTGGGAGGGTTGGGCTGTAGGGTAGGGGTCTATCTGATTAGGAGAGGGATATGGTCGGCCCTGAAAAAGGGCGAAAAAGGGGAGGGGTGGCCGAGGTGGCTGATGAAATGAGTTTCGCACTCAGGGTCTCTCTCTCATAAGAAACTATTCTTTTGCTGGTCCATACCTTGACCCACACACCTGCCGGAGCAGAGACGTAACCCCCGGGCCCCCCCAACGCAGTAGCCATATGCGCCCCGCCGCTCACATGCAGCGTCTGCCCCGTGATCCACCCCGTCTCCGGGCTCGCCAGCAGGGCCACCACGCCCGCCGCATCGTCCGGCATGCCGACGCGTCCGAGCGGGCTCCAGGCCGCGATCCGCTCATCAATCTCGTCGGCGCTGAGCTGGCCGCCGCCCTGAAGATACCTGCGCGAGTGAGGAGATGCTGCTCATGAGAATCCGCCGGCCGTTGGGCGCCATGTGCTTGCCGGCGTGCTGAGCGACGAAAAACTGGCCCTTGACGTTGACGGCGGAGACCTTGTCAATGTCTTCCCCCGTTGCCTTGTCGAGGTCGCCGAAGTGCTCGATGCCGGCATTGCTCTGTGGGCGGACTGTGAGCTGGTGAATACCGACAAACGCCGAAGCGCGAGTAACAATACCATGACGATATCGACCTGTCGAAAATGCTTGATGGTTTCCTGAAATAGGTTGGCCACATCCGCCTCGTTGGAGACGTCCACCTGGACGACTACAGCCCCGACATTGTACTTCTCGCAGATATCGGCCCTGCCGGCCTCCGCCGGCTCACCACCTGCAATGGCAAGGTTCCTGGCCGGGCTTTGCTGGAAAAGGTCGAAGCTGTTCCGCATTCGGGGTGGCTATGCGGAGCTTCCGCCGGGGTTGTTGTTGTTGGCCTGGAACACACCGACCGTGGCGTGCGGGGGGCATCCACCGATCGCGCTTAAACCCGGCATGGACAACACCGAGCAGGCTCCGGAATGACGCATCTTCGCCATACAAGAATCCGGCCATCTGCTTGTGCTCTGTATTGCCCCGGCGTCAGACATTTCAGTCGAGCGATTTGGAGGCAATCGACCGTCGCGATCGTTCACAATGTCTACCATCGTTGTCCTCGGGTAAGGCCCCGCCCCGGCCGGTACCGGAGGCGCGGAAACGAACGTGCCGGCTAATGCGTGGCAGCGCCGGTGTGAGCGGCCTTACCTGCGCGCTGCAGCTGGCCAAGCAGAAGGGCAATGCCGTGACGGTCGTTGCAAAGCACATGCCCGGCGACTATGACGCCGAGTACACATCGCCGTGGGCGGGCGCCAATGTCCTGCCGTGAGCCACAGCACGACTCTCCAACCTGATGACAGCCCGCTGAAACCGTACTGCAGGATGTCGCTCGAGGGGGACAGCCGGTGGGAGCGGCGGACATGGCCCGAGCTGAGGCGTCTCGCCGCCGAAGTTCCAGAAGCCGGCCTCCACTTCCAGAGTCAGCAACCCCCCCCACCTTCTTCTCCTCCTTACCAGCGACAACCCCTAACCCCCCCGTCCAGCCGCCCGCGTCCTCCGCCGCGAGCAAGAAGTAGCCGCGGGCTTCAAAGCCGCCCTCTCCGACGGCCTCTTCCAGCCCGACCCGTGGTACAGCGCGCTGATGGACGACTTCCGCGAGCTGCCGGCCGCGGAGCTGCCGGCGGGCATGCACTCGGGGTGCGAGTTCAGGTCCGTGTGCATCAACACGGCCATCTACCTGCCGTGGCTGGTGGGGCAGTGCGCCCGGCGCGGCGTGCACTTCCGGCGCGGCGCGCTCCAGCACGTGTCCGAGGCCGCGGCGCTGAGCCACACGGGCAAGCGCGCGGACATGGTGGTGAACGCGTCGGGCTTGCTGGCGTGCCGGCTGGGCGGGGTCATGGACACGGCCGTGTACCCGGCGCGCGGGCAGATTGTGGTGGTGCGCAACGAGGCCGGGTCCGTCATGCCGACGACGAGCGGGTGCGACGACGGGGACGACGAGGTGGTCTACGTGATGCAGCGCGCGCTGGGCGGGGGCACGATCCTGGGCGGGACGTACATGAGGGGGAACTGGGACCCGAATCCGGACCCGAACATTGCGCTGCGCATCATGCGGCGCGCGGTGGCGATGCATCCCGAGCTGACGGGCGGCCGGGGGGTGGAGGCGCTGGATATTGTCCGCCATGGTGTCGGGCTGCGGCCGGGGCGGGAGGGGGGCGTGCGGATCGAGACGGAGGTCGTGGACGGGACGTGGGTGGTGCACAACTACGGCCACGCCGGGTGGGGGTACCAGGGGAGCTACGGGTGTGCGGAGCGCGTCGTGGAGCTGGTTGGTGAGATTGCCGCCAAGACGAAGCGGCCGTCCAAGTTGTAGTTTGTCCGCGTGCGCAGTCTAGAATTAATTCTGTCTGTTGGGAAAGATGAAAGGTCCCAAGCTGCTGTCGCGACTTCCTTGGAGGGGGATATTAAATATTTGCACCCCTGCACCAACTGCCTATTCCCTGTCGCCAGCTGCTTGGCACCCCAGCACCTTCCCTTCAATCGGCACCCCAAGTTCCAACAACTCCCAGCCAAGACAGAACGCAGCTCCTCGACCGCGTCGCATCGCGTCCCCGCCACATCACCACCACCCACGATGACACCCCCGGCCCCCCTCCGCCTCCTCAACCACGCCCGCGCCCTCGCCACCGGCCAGCACGCGCTCTCCGCGCTGATCCCCCCGGCGCTCCTCCTCCTCGACGCGCTCCTCTGCGCGCTCGTCATCCGCACCGTGCCCTACACCGAGATCGACTGGGCGGCCTACATGCAGCAGGTCGCGCAGATCGCCGCGGGCGAGCGCGACTACACGGCGGTCAAGGGCGGCACGGGCCCGCTGGTGTACCCGGCCGCGCACGTGCACGTCTACACGGCGCTGTACCACCTGACGAAGGGGGGCCGCGACGTGCGCGCGGCGCAGTGGGTGTTTGCGGGCGTGTATCTGGCGGGGCTGGCGGTGGTGATGGCGTGCTATTGGCGGGCGAAGGTATGTGGTCTGGTTTGCTGGGGGGAAGGGGGCTGACTTTCTGGCTAGGTGCC